CAATATGGTTCCCCGCTCATTGTCCAACGCGCGCGCGCGACTTTGCGGCGCGCGCTGCGGTTTCCAACGCATTTGCCCATTGTACGGCGAGTCCTTGGGGCCAGAGAATTCAGTTTCACATTTGGTTTCCCCGCGCGCGCGCGTGGTGAGTTTTGGATTGCCCCCCATAAGCAGATCGTTTTGTAAAGCCAAAGACTGAATTTATTTTTACCTGTGAAGTAGTAAGGGGGCCGACGGAGGCGCGCAGTTCTGCATAGCATTGTGGGCAATACAGAACTCCCTACGCGCGCGCGCGGTGAATTCTGTAGCGTCCACATACAGAACTACGCGCCCCCCTCGGCCTCCTTACAGCTTCAAAGAAAAGTCAAATTCAATGTTTGGATTTACAGGGCGATCTTCTTATTGTGGACAATACAGAACTCACCACGCGCGCGCGCCGCGGCGCGGGCGCGTGTAGGAAGTTCTGGATTGCCCACAATAAGAAGATCGCCTTGTAAATCCAAAAACTGAATTGAACTTTTCTGTGAAGCTTTCTGGAGGCCGACGGAGGCGCGCACAGTGAGCGCCTTGAGTAAGGAACACTTACTTTTCAAAAGGGGCTCGGACGTTCCTTAGGTTTGCATGCGTTCCGCTGCCTTTTTGGCGGCGAGCCCCCCCGGTGTTCCTTGCGATTTTGGACGCGCGGGTTCGTTTTGTCGATCGGGGCGGACGGTCTAAGGAACGGGGCTCCACGGGTGGGCTCGGTTCCTTGCGCTTGCTCGACGTAATGCGACGGCGGTCGCGTATAAGCCCTGCGCCTCTCTGGGGCCTTCCCGTTCTTCGCGGGGCGCGCGCTGGAGCTTTCGCCCGTTCCGCGCGCCAGGGCGCGGGGCATTGAGGTCCAGTTCCTCGCAAGGGCCCCCCCCGTTTCTTCGGCCACGCGGTTCGGAGCTCACTGGCTCGACATAATTGAACGGTGGCTGCGTTATGGTCCAGCTCCGTTCTCAGGCCCCCCCGTTCCTTGCGGGGCGCGCGCTGGAGCTGTCGCCCCTGCATGTATCCGCATGCCAAGGTATGGGGCATTGAGGTCCAGTTCCTCGCAAGAGCCCCCCCCGTTCCTTCGGCCACGCGGTTCGGAGCTCACTGGCTCGACATAATTGAACGGTGGCTGCGTTATGGTCCAGCTCCAATCTCGGGCCCCCCCGTTGTCGCCCCTGCATGTATCCGCATGCCGAGGTGGGGGCATTAGTTCCTTATGTCACACCTTAGGTCAAGACCTTCACTGTACGCCTGCGTACTCATTTTGTGCTTTGCATCCGTGGGTTTTCATATTTCTGAAACACGTGGCCGCCCAAGGCCTTTGCACTTGGTCACCCCTGGGGGCGCGAAGATTATTGCGCCTCGCGCGTCCCGGCCCGGGCAGGAGAGCCGCCCTTGTCCAGGGCGGCGGCGCAGGGGCGTGAAGTTCACCGCGCGTCGCGCATCGCGGGGCGCGATAATCCTCGCCTATCTACAAATTTGTACACGTAAGGCTCCGCGTGCGCCGTTTGGTTGGTTAAGTCCAGTGTGTTGGTTGGCTGGCGCGCCGGCTGGTAGGCAGGTTGGCTGGTTGAAGAGCCGTTTAAGGAGGCTGACGGAGGCCGGGTCACCCGCGCGCGCGCGTGGGGAGTTCTGCATTGTCTACAATATAAAAATCGTCATGTTATTCCCGAAACCAAATCTGATTTTTTCTGGAGCCCTTTAAGGAGGCCGACGGAGGCCGGGTCACCGGCGCTTGCGCGCGCTGGAGAATTCTGCATTGTCCAGAATATAGAAGTCGACATGTTATTCCCGAAACTAAATCTGAATTTTTCTGGAGCCTTTTCAGGAGGCCGACGGAGGCTGGGTCACCGGCGCTCGTGCGCGCGGGATAGTTCTGCATTGTCCAGAATATACAAGTCGACATGTAAAGTGCCGCGTTTGAACATGTTTTTTTGTTTTGTTCTGTTCTGGAGCCCTTTGAGGAGGCCGACGGAGGCCGGGTCACCCGCGCGCGCGCGTGGGGAGTTCTGCATTGTCTACAATATAAAAGTCGACATGTTATTCCCGCAACTAAATCTGATTTTTTCTGGAGCCCCGAAGGAGGCCGACGGAGGCCGGGTCACCGGCGTTCGCGCGCGCTGGAGAGTTCTGCATTGTCCAGAATTTAAAAGTCAACATGTTATTCCCAAACTAAATCTAAATTTTTCTGGAGCCCTTTAAGGAGGCCGACGGAGGCCGGGTCACCGGCGCTCGCGCGCGCGGGATAATTCAGCATTTTCCAGAATATAGAAGTCGACATATAAGTGCCGCAACTGAAAATGAATTTGTCTGGGGCCTTTTGAGGAGGCCGACGGAGGCCGGGTCACGGCCGTTCTTCGGCCAATGCTCCTCCCGCTTGCGCGGCGGTTAAGTTCGCGCTTCTCCTGGCCGCGCGCTGCTTTGTATAATCAGTACGTTTCTCATGTCCCGCACGTTAAGCTCCAAGCCCAACATGCGCGCGGATATTGCGGGGAAGCCGTCTGGCGCTCCAGAAAGCAACATCGCTTGCGGACCCGCGCGTTTGAGACGACGAAACCTTGCACTACGGGAAAGGGTGGGCGGTGGCGGAAGCTCCAGCGGCATGGGGGCCCTTTCGCGGCGCGGAAGTGCGCGTCGGCATTCGACAATTCTCCTTGTGGCACCCGTGGGGCGCGGAGCCCGTTCGGGTGCGTTTCCGGGCTGGCTGCTGGGCAATATACCGCGATCCGTTTTCTTTGTTTCCATTTACAGATGATAATGTATATATATATAAAGAGAGAGAGAGAGAGAGAGAGAGAGAGAGAGAGAGAGAGAGATGTTTGCGCTGCCGTCAATTATGTTAGCCGCGCCCTGGTCTAGCTTGTACCCGTCGCGACTCAAAAGTTTGGCTCGCTACGTGCACGTGCGTGTGTGTGTGTGTGTGCGCGTGTGTGTGTGTGTGTGTGTGTGTGTGTGTGTGTGCGTGCGTGTGCGCGTGCGTGTTTGCTTCGATTTTGGCGCGCCCGCGCGCGCTTTGGTTACGCAGCGCCGTCTTCAAAGTTGGACGGAAACAAATGGTATTGCGACGTTCTCGAGTGATGTCGCGACAGGTGTGCGCATCGCCGAGCAGCGGACGGTTTTCCCCGTCGCTCGTAGCGTTTGCGCTCGCGCGGTGGACGCGCTCGCACGTTGAAGTTTGCGTCCCCTCGAGGCGCGCGCTGCCCTAGAGAAGCGGCTGCTTTCTCACTCGCGTGCGCCGCGCGCCAAATCCAACATGTGCGCTGTTTGTTTCGGAAACCCTTTGGGCGTTGTACCAATGAGCATCGCCTGGGGTTCCCCGCGTTTGAATCGATGACACATCGCCCCATGGCAAAAAATGCCTGGCAAAAATCAATGCCTCGTGGAATTCTGAATATTGCAAAGCAGCCGATGGCAAAACAGGCCGTGCAAAAATCAGTGCTCAGCGGAATTTTGAAAATTTCAAGGCGCTTCGTCTGTCAAATTCGTTTTTTTGTGTTTTCATTCCGCGGGCCAAGAAGTTAACAGCCATGGCCTGCTAATGGTCGCTGTAGGAGACCCCCTCACTAACACATCGTGTGGCAGATTGCGTAAATCCGAATTGTCTTACCAGCTTGTTTTTTTTTTACATTTGGCGCCACACCCTGTGGCATACTACGCTAGTCCGCATTGTTCGAAGCTTCATTCAGTGTGCACAGATTTCCTTTTATGTGGTGACGACCACACTATTGAGATGTTATCTCGATAAGACAGCGCTATTTGAGTTTTGTCGCATAGCGATCGGACTCGCGCCGCTGTTCGTTTTGAGAATTTATGTCTTTCTTGCCGGTGCGTGTAGCAGCACCCGTTAAATGCCCCGGGGCAGCCGGATAGCATGCCGACAGGGCCGTTTGCCTGTGTTTGTTTTGAGAGCGCTCTGATTAATGAAGTGAGCTGCGATCAATGATCGTCGCTCGACGGCGCCGCGAGCGTCAATCAGGAGGAGTGTGATTCCCGCTCACTCCCTGTGCCTTTCCTGCATCCCCGCTCTATCCCTCACCCCCGCTCGTGCCGCTGCCGTTTTGTTTCGAACTAGGGCCCTTGGCCTTAGAGCTACGCAGATAGATTGAGCAACGCTCTCTTTCGCCTAAAGATCGTCGCGCCGCGCGCGCCATCCATATCACAGAAAACCACCCGCCCTCCATCCTTTCTATGCCCGCTGCAGTCCTTTCGAGACGAATGCGCGCGGCGCCAAGGCGACGACAGCACACGTTCACGAACGGTTGGCACTGCATCCTCGCCAGCATGGCTGCATCCCGAGACGACGGCGCGCGGCGCGAAGGCACGAGCCCCTGCGCTTCGAGGTCGACCGGCCCTCCGCCCCCGTGCTCGTCGGGGCCTCGGGGGCCTCGGGGCCTCCTGGGCGGCGAGGCGCGGCGAGGCGCGGCGAGGGCGGCGAGACTCGCCCCCGCCCAGCCTGCGGACACGTCCAGCGGTGCGACGGGGAGGAACGGGAAGAGGGATCGAGGAGGCGCGCGGCGTCTTCCCGACGGCCGCGTTCCGCGTCCCCCCCTCGCCCCGTCCCCCCAGCAGGATCCGGCACAGGGCGGCAGGAATGGCTGGTGGGGTGGGAGGATGGGGGAGGACACGGGTCGGGAGCATGTCTCGAGGGCTGCAGGCGCGTTGCGAGTGAAGGGCGTGCACCTTCGCACGAGGAGGGAGGCGAGATGGAAGAGGCGAGGAGGAGGGACGAGGGAGGAAAAGTGGGAGGAGGAGGTGTAGGAATCAGGAGAGGTAGGATGAGGAGGAGGAGTAGGATGACAGGAGGGAGGAGGAGTATGGGATGATTAGGAGTTATGCAGGATTCCCTTCCTCATCGTCACCTCGCTGGGCGAGGCCCGTGCTTCTGCTTTGTTGCCCTGACCTCCTGCTGCCTCGGGAGGAGTGCGCACCAAGAGGCGTGCGGCGGTCTTCCCGACGACGGCCGCCCTCCCATCCCCGAGCAGGAGCCGCAGGGCGGCGAGGAGTTCGAGGTGCCCTTCAGCAGGCTCCGCTTCGCGGACGGCCCCGGCTCGCCCTCGGGCACAGGCGGCCGCCGCCCTCCGCGCGGCTCGCGGGCGGAGTCAGCGTTATCGGCCTCGCCGTCGGCGTCGCGGCCGCCGTCGGCGTCAGCGTCGGGATCGATGTCGGCCGTTATATGAGAAGGAAGAGGAGCGAATGAGGAGGAGGAGGAGGAGGAGGAGGAGGAGGAGGAGGAGGACGACGACGAGGACGACGACGAGGACGAGGACGATGACGAGAAGAGGGAGGGAGGGAGGGAGGGGGGGAGGGAGGGAGGGCAGAGGCGGGTGGGCGGGCTGGCGGGGCGGGCGGAGGGAAGGAGGGCGGGAGGAGCGGGAGGAGTTTGATGAGAGGGGGAGGGGGGGGGCAGGAGTTGGACGAGGAGAGGGCGAGGTGAGGAACAGGAGGGGGGTGGCCGGAGGGGGAGGAGGAGGTGGGAGGAGGGGAGGTTGAGGGTGGAGGAAACGAGGGGAAGGAGGACATGGGGTGGGTGGTGGGGGAGTGGCGAGGGAGGGGGGGCAGGAGGTGGAAGGAGAGGACGAGGTCGATTGGCTCAGTGAAGTTTCATCATCATGTGTTCATGGGTGACCACCTTCATCGATGCAGAATCTTCAGGTGAGGGGATGAGGGGGGTGAGAAGAAGTGGGAGGAGGAGGAGGATGAGGAGGAGGAGGAGGAGGAGGAAGAGGAGAAGGACGACGAGACTGGAGGAGGAGGACGGGGAGACTCTCGCAAGGCGTCTGGCAGCTGCGTTCGTTCCTATCCCTGCGGTCTGGAGGGCAGTCGGGAAGGCCGCGGCCCAGGGCGGGGCTGCGGGGCGTGCTCCTGGGGCACCTCCGAACGCACGTCGGAGGTGCCGGCTAGGGAGGCTCGCCCCGCCCTTCGACGTCCTCCCTCTGCCCCTCGACGGCCTCCCTCCCCTTCCTCTTCCTCCTCCTCCTCCTCCTCCTCCTCCTCCCTACTCCCTCCGCCATCACTCCTCCTCCTCCTCCGCTCCTCCTCCTGCTAGCCTCCTCCTTCCTCTCCGCGTCCTCCTCCTCATTTCCTCCCTCCCTCCCTGCTGCTGCTGCTCCTCCTCCTCCTCCTCCTCCTCCTCCCCTCCCTCCCCTTCCTCCCTCCCGTCCCTCCCATCTCCTCATCCCTCCTCCCCTCTCTCCCACCATCCCACCCCGCTCCTCCTCCTCCTCCTCCTCCCTCCCCTCCTCCTCCTCCTCCTCCTCCTCCTTCTGCCTCCTCATCTTCATCTTCCCCTCCTTCTCCTGCTTCTCTTCCTTCTTCCTCCTCCTCTCTCGCTCCTCCTCCTCCCTCCTCCTCCTTCTCCTCTCTCCCTCCTGCTGCTGCTGCTCCTCCTCCTCCTCCTCCTCCTCCTCCTCCTCCTCCTCCTCCCTCTCCTTGCCCACTGGCGCGGCTGCCATTAGTTCCGCGGAGGGGCAGGAGTCCCATGCAGTTGAAGCCCATACCAAGAAGCACGCTGCTTGCCTCCAGGGTGCCCTGGGTTTCTTGGGTTTCGACGGCTCTGCTGCAGTACGCGTGGCGTGCCCACACCAGACAGCAATGGACGCCCTGGGGCCTCGGGGTTGAGCTTCTTGTGGAAGGTTGCCTGTGGTCGAGCTTTGGCTTTGCTGCCCCATCTGCTGTCCTCACTGCGCGGTCCCAGACATCCGTCGACATGTTGTTTTTCAACCCGCGGCCCCAGAGGTCCCGTCCCCCTTCCCCTGGGGCGGTTGTCCGTCCCGGATCCGTAGTTGATGGCCCCCGGGCCCGAGAGAGCGGGCCTCGGAGGCCGCAATCCCGGAAGCACCGCCGGGCTGAACACATCTCGTCCTCGGATCTCGGGGGTGCTGCCGTCTCCTCCCCTGCCTTGCTGCATGCTCGCTGGCGCCCCCCCCCCGCCCCCTGGCGCGCCGCGCCCCCCGGCGGCTCCGGCCGCCGAGCTCCCCCGCCCGAAGCTCGGCGGCGCTCGCCGCCCGGCCCGCCGCGGCTCCGCCCCCAGGGCTGCCCCGCCGTCGGCCGCCCTTGCGGCGGCAGCCGCCGTCGGGCGTGTCGTTCGCCGTGGGGGAAGCGATCGCCGTGTGGCACTCCAGATTTCGTAATAAAGGGAGGGGGGTCTCATTTCGGGGGGGGTCTCTTCCAGGCTATCTTGGAGGGCCTGGGGGGTCTGGGGACGATGTTTTGGAGGGTTCTCCCACGGGGGAGGTCTGAAATGGCTTGTCTTGGAGGGTCCAGACCCCCTCCCTTTTATTACGAAATCTGGAGTATTTGTATGATCATGTCTTGCTTATTTTAGATGTTTCGTCCAAAATCTGCGGGCAACACTTCTGTCCATATGCACTGCAGTGTGGAGTTTCGGGCTCCCTTCCCCAGAAACCCGAGGCACACTGTATATGGATAAATTTGCCCACCGTAGAGGCTAGGTTTTTATCCATATCCAGTGCGCCTCGGCCTTGAGGCGCTTCTTCCAACACATTCAAGACGCACTGGATATGGATAGAAGTCTTGCCCTCAAAATCCCCCTGTAGGGGGACACGCCCGACCTAGTCGAAGCTCGAAGAGGCTCTTGGACGTGTCGCGCCGCCTTGGAACAGGCCCTGGAGTGTTCGTAGGGCGTTTTCTGGGGGAGGGGCCGCTTCCTCGAGGATGTGGCGACCCCGCTTACTTCGGAGGTTGATAGGCCTCCTACCCTGGCACGTCGATTAGCGAATTCGCCGTTTTCGGTTCGCGAGAGAGTGTCGCGGCTGTCTTTTTTTGCGGGTCCAGGTCCGTCGGTTTCGGCCCCAGGCCGTTTTCACGAAAGGGAGGTCTGTCCACCTCCGAAGCGGATCCTGAGGGACAAAGATGCTCGTAGGACAGGAAAGGTAAGACAGCAAACAACTGCTGTTCGGTCCTGATGTTTCTCGCCATGCTCGGGGTCTCGGGGCCCCTCCACACGGGCCCCGGGACTGTCAGAGAGTGCCTCGGGACGAAGAGCTGGTCTCGGGGGGGAGGCCCCAGGTTCTGGGACCCGTTTCCCTCGGGACCCGATCTCCGCGGTGTCAAAAACCACCGCCGAAGTCGGCGCGACACGAACTCACCGTAGCGCTGCAAGCTTGGCTCGCATCGGTTCTCGTCTCGTTCTGAATGTTTCATCTGTGCATCCTCTGGCGCGTCACAGTCGTTACCGCCCCCCCCCCGCACCCCCCGGGCAACGGCAACGACAGTAACGAGAATGGGTAGGGTTGGCGGGGGCTTACCCCCCCTCCCCTGGCATCTCTCGGACGTGTGCATTTTTTCTCGGCGAGGACCATCGAGGAGCATCCTTGATCATTTGGCGAAAAACCACGCACGAAACCGAAAAAAACACAGGGAATGGACGTCCGAGCGATGGCGAGCTTACCCCCCCTCCCCCACACGCTGCGATCGCGCGCACATGCTATGGCGATCGCAGCGCACCCTCGCCCTGAGGCGCCCGAGCCAACCCGAGCGTTACCATTACCCTGCCCTCACACCCCTCCCCGGGTAGCGAGCATGCTCCTCCTCCTCCTCCTCCTCTCTCCTCCTCCCTCCTCCTCCTCCTCCCCTGCTCCTCCTCCTCCTCCTCCTCCCCCTCGCCTCCTCGTCCTCCTCGTCCTCTTCCTCTTCCTCCTCCTCCGCCTCCTCCTCCTCCTCCTCCTCCTCCTCCTCCTCCTCCTCCTCCTCCTCCTCCTCACAGCACAGCAGAATGAGCCCGAGCAGTTCGTGAGGCAAGCGCGTCGCAGCACTCGTTGCAGCAGACATCACTAGCGACGTGATTATCCAGAATCAGGAGAGGAAAAACACACAGACACAATCCATCGTCGATCCCCAGGAACATATGGAAAAGATGGGAAGTGGTGGGGAAGACAAAAATACAGAAAATATAGGAAAATATAAGGGATCCTGTTATTTGACTGTATTTATGTGTGTGTGTGTCCCAGGGCCTCTTCACAGAAGACGGCCAGAGCCAACGTGCCCTCCTGCTCCTCCCTGCTGCGATGCCGCAATGCCCCTGGCTGCAGACGTCGGCCACGCGCAGAAGGGGGGCACGGGGAGTGCTTCTCGGGAGCGCCGCTGCTCCTGAGAGGGCGCCGGGCCTGTCTGAAGATGCAGGACCGGCGCCCTCTGGGGAAGAGAGGCAGGCTCCTCCTGAGCGGCCGTCCCCTCTCCTCCTCCTCCTCCTCCTCCTCCTCCTCTTCCTCCCTCCTCCTCCTCCTCCTCCTCCTCCTCCTAACCTCCTCCTCCTCCTCCTCCTCCTCCTCCTCCTCCTCCCCTCCCTCCTCCTCCTCCTCCTCCCCCGTCCCCCCCCCCGTGTTGGTGAGCGCCGCCGCAGACGGCGGCTGGACGCCCCGACGTCGCCCTCTGGACGGCGCCCCGCAAGTGGAAAAAACGCTCTTGGGGCCCCACGGCGCGGGGGGGGCGTTTCCCCCCGTGGCGGCGGCATGCTGCCAGGCGCAGGGCCCCACGGTGAAAACGCCCTGCTTTCTCGACGCGGTGTCCCGCGCCAGCGGAGTGACTCGTCGTCGTCGTCGTCGTCGTCGTCGTCGTCGTCGTCGTCGTCGTCGTCGTCGTCGTCGTAGTCGTCGTATAACGCCGCTGCGGAAGGCCGCCGAGCCGTCGATCTCTGGCACCCCCCTCGCGCCGTGGAAGGAAGCACGGCGGGGGGGCTCTGGACAATGCCGGGTCGCGGGGGGCCCCCGCCGGACCCCGGGGCCGCCGAGACGGGGCCCGGGATGAAGCACGAGCCCCAGGGAAGTGATCGTGTTCTTCTTCATGTTTTTGCCGATCGGCGTGGACCCTCGCATGATGGGCCTGCTTTCCACCACCACGACCACCGCCACCACCACCAACAGTTGGAGGGGGGAAGGAGGTGGAGGAGGAAGAGGAGGGGGAGGAGGAGGAGCAGGAGGAGGAGGAGGAGGAGGAGGAGGAGGAGGACCCCCTTCCCCTCCAATTTCTGGTGGTGGTGGTGGTGGAAAACAGGCCCATCATCGCACCCCCTCTCCCCACCGCCCCCATGGAGTAGGCCTTGGCTG